AGGCTGCGGGCGCTCGGCGCGGAGGGGCTTTGCCGGGCCCTGCTGACCGTCCTTCCCCCGCAGGACGAGCTGACTGCTCTGAACGTCAAGCAGGGCTTCAATAACCAGCCGGCGGTCTCGGGGGACGAGCACGGCAGTGCCAAAAATGTCAATTTCAACCCGGCGAAGGTGAGAGGGATCGGGACGGTGGGGGGGTTTGGCAGGGCCTGTGCTTGTACGGGCAGGGTGCTGGATCCTGGACAGTCCTGCGTCTCATTCCTTCCCCATGTCCAGAACCAGGAGGCCAACCCGGCGAAGGTGAGAGGGATCGGGACGGTGGGGGGGGGTTGGCAGGGCCTGTGCTTGTACGGGCAGGGTGCTGGAGCCTGAGCAGTCCTGCGTCTCATTCCTTCCCCATGTCCAGAACCAGGAGGCAGGTCACTGTAGGATGGGTGTGTTAGAACCTAACCCTTTTTCCTTGTAGAATCAAAGTTCTGTGTTGTTTTGGAGCTGTGCTCCCCCTCTGAGAGAGCAGATTCTGTTAAACTAGCATCTAGAACTGCCTATATTCTGCAATTAAAGCAGAGGACTAGGATACAAGAAACAGGAAACTTGTTCTTACTGCCTTGGCTACGTAACAGCCGTGGTAGAAGCGAAGCAAGGTTTCTTGAAACATCTGTCAGTTTAAACGTGGGAGTTATATAACAGGCTTCAACTCTGTTTTTCCAATCTCTAAAATCAAGACATTAACTTCCTGGCCCCCCGACAAGAGAACTAGTAATGACCTGGGATGGAAGGCAATCAGTAAGCATGGTGTATTTGTTTTCCTTGGCTGACGTCTGTCCCAGAAGCCTTCTGTCTGGTTTGACAAATATTTATAGAGTTGTGTCTGTCTCGAGTCCCTGCTTGGTTATTGTGTGTCTAGAAGTGTTCCTCTTTGCAAGTATTACAAAGGAAATTATTGGCAGGTTTTGTGTGTTTCGAAAGTTCGTACTGGTGAGACTTCTGGCAGGAGCAATAAATGAGATTTTAAGCGCATAGAACAGATCTTTCACCTGTGAAACGTAACTGTTTCTTTTCTTCCTTTTTCCAGATCAGTTCAAATTTTAGCAGTATTATCGCAGAAAAGCTGCGGTGCAATACGCTGCCTGACACAGGAAGACGGAAACCCCAGGTGAATCAGAAGGATAACTTTTGGCTGGTGACAGCACGTTCTCAGAGTGCCATAAACAACTGGTTCACAGATCTGGCTGGAACGAAGCCCCTCACTCATCTTGCTAAGAAGGTGTGTTACAGGAGAGGCTGCCTGACAGGGCAGAGCATTTCATCTTTGTTTCTGAAGTGTTTGTGTAGTAGAAGGGTTTTACTGTTTGGAGAAGTTTCTTCTCTCTGTGTCTTGAAACTTTCAGCTTGAAGAGCATATCCAGGATTCGTAGTGCACTGGCTGTAGTCATCCCCACTCAAAGAACTGGTCCCTCATCTGTTGTTTGGAGGTTGTGTTCAACTTTGCCACTTGGCTTGTGTGATACAACTGATTTGTTTCAAAGTTTGGATGTTTTTTGGAAGAGCTGCCACTGTTGTCTCTGGTCTGTCGTTTAGATTAGGACCATTCT